AAAGCTGCAGCTATTGTTAAAGAAAGACATTAGATAAAGACATATAATGAGTTTAAGATGAACAGGGATTAAGGACCAAGCAGAACGAGATCTTACCATGTATCTTCTATTTCTTTCATTTTCATGTAAAGAAGCTGCCACAGGGTTCCCTATAGCACCACAGTCTGTATGTCCCTCCTGTGCCATGTGGCATGGTGGTTAGAGAGACTGGTGACTTGGGACATCTGGGTCCTAGTCCCGCTTGGCCATGAAGGTTACTGGGTGACCCTGGGCCAGTCACTCATTGTCAGCCCAGCCTTCTTCACAGAGTTGTTCTGAGGACAAAGTGAGTTACATAAACTGCCTCAGGGTCTTCACAAGAGGAAAAAAGGCAGGATATCAATGCAATGCAATGTAATGATGATGATGAAGATGAAGCCATTTCCCAAAGAAAATTATCTTGTCCTAAAGATGCTGCATGCCCCATTACAGATGAGGTCTATGTACACAAGTATGCTCCCCATAGGGACTTTTTATGAATGTTGTATTCATTTTTAATATGTTGTGCTCCTGTATGAAGGCAGTAATAGTAATACACAAAAGCTCCCCAAAAGAAAAAGAAAACCTCTTTAACCATTTGGGCAACCACATTAAACATAATAATGCAAAGGAACAGTTACAAAATGTTGAGGAAAATGAGTACCACATTAAATGCTTTGACACATTTGACTGGGATGAGTGTGCTATGGAATGGCAGTGTGCCTTTTTTTGAAACGGAATGTTCATTAGACAGAACTGCATGTTCTTTATATACTGGCTTTTAGCTTGTATTGACTGTTTCTTCTTCCTGTTCTCCTGATGAGCTGGCATGTTTGCAGTCTTTAAAAATTAATCCAGTGCTGTTTGTAACTGCCTACCAAAGCCCTCACAGTGTCTGACAACTTGATAAGTGTATTTTCAGTAAGGAAGGGCTATAATCTTTGTCTCTATTGGGCACTGAGACTCTGTTTCTTCAGTTCTGTCCCTGGACTTGCTTTCTGAGGCAAAAGGCAGAGTTTCGAAAGAACATATGGATGAAGTATTTTCAGCCAGGAACATGTTTTGGCAGCTACTCACAGTAAAGGGGCCATGACATCTTTCCTTGGTTGTACAAAAGGACCAGGCGACTTCTAACACTGCTCCCCTTCCTGCTCCCAGATTTTGTCCCCAAAATCCATTTCTTTAATGTATAGACTAGGATCAACTTCCCAAATATCTAACCATTTTAACTGCAGTTTTAATCCCAAGGCTTCTTCCAAGCTTTGCAAGCCCTGTTTGCTTTGTCCATGATTTATAAGCCTTCAAGAAGGATTTCTGCCCACAGAACACTATTGCTAAATGCTAAATGCTTTGAAGACCTTTGAAAAATGTTGTTTTTTCTACTGTGCTGTACTACACAAGTTCTCCTCCCACCTGAGCACCAGACCTTTGCTCAAATGAAGTTAGAAAAAGTAAATTTCCATTGACTTATTAACAGTGGAAAGGGTACGCATCTTCAGCAAAGTATCCCCTATTCCTGCCCCAATAATGGCTTTTCTCTGTTCTCTTTCACATGAAGCCATACTGGATGTGGTCCTTTTCTCCAGAGGCTCCATCCCTGATCCTTAAGAACCCCTTCATGAAGAAAAGGATCAGTGTTGACCTTCTGGCTTGGCTCTGAAAATGGCCAGTCAATATTTGAAAGAAAGGCATTCAAAGGTACTGCACTTGGGGTCTGTGGGATGTGTTCAACTAAAAAAAATCATACATATGGCCAAAGAAACACACTCTTTGTGAAGGCATTCCTTATTTGAAAGGCTGCCGTGTCCAGTTCTAGTTGAACCATAGAACCATAACTGGCTATCAACCATTTGGCTGTAGACACTAAGCCGTGGTAGGAAGTGCTATATTTCTCCTTAAATTAACTGACTTTGTCTCTGGTGCGAAAAGTCTGCTATAACTCCATCCTTCCCTAGTGTGGTGCCCTCCAGATTTTCCAGACTACAGCTCCCATTATCCTTAGAGAGCCAAAGGTACTCTGCTTACTTTTCTAGATTGGATTTCGACTAATACCTGGATTAGACCAGCCATATGCTTCTAGAGCATATAGACCAACTACCTGCTTCTCTGGCATCTAGAACCTGACAGCCTGAAGCCTGACCCTGCTGGTTAACCCCGACACAGGAACTCTTTGCTCATAATGACAGCAGGTTGTGGGTTAGTCAAATGTGTGTGGAGTGCATTCCACAGCTTTTTTTTTTTTTTGGCATATTCAACACCTGATCAGGCCGCTCATGCATTGCCACATGATAGCCAGATCTGGACTTAGTGATTTGGTTCAGACAGCATGATAGTCCATGATGGGCTCTTGAAGGGCAATGGCACATGCCATTTGCTATCAATATGAAAGCCCCGGCCAGGAGCTTCTACAGCTTGTTGTGTTGTCCAAACCCAGGTGATAGGGATTATTTTAGGGTTAAAACAAACCTTGGTCTATTTTACACTCACATGATCACTGTTTAACACTGTTGTGCCACTGGACAGAGCTTCTACATTTCAAAACACCTTGTAAGGTTTGGTGGGAGGTTTCAGGTTGGATAATTAAGTTCTAGAAAAAAAAATGCTTGTGAAATGATGGCCCGCACAGAAGTCTACTGGCAATTGAAAGTTTCTGAAGGACCTCTTTAAGTAGAGCCAGGAAGTTAGGCAATGTATGATGTTGCTGTGGAAACAGAACATAGTGACATTTTTCTTGAAGCTGGAATAGTGTGACACTTGTGTTCAAGTCTGCTTCAACTGATGTATGACCACAGTGTTCATCTCAGGGCAGATAAATAGATGCCCTTGAAAATCATAATAGCAGTGTTTGCTTCTTTTGACCATATTACTTCTTGGATGGGTGTATTCTGTCCTCTGTCACTGAGACTTTTAGCTTATTAGTAGTTTTTAAATTCTGTTTAAGATGCAAGATGGGAGACGTCTACTGCTGCAGTTGCTGGGTGTGGAATAAATCCTTTGCAAATATGCCAAGTATACTTGCCACCGTTATCGCAACAACTCCTCTGTCCCTTTTTTAATAATCCAGGTGGTACAATTTCTTTTGCCAGTCCTGAATCCAGATACTAACTCAATGCTGTGCAGCCAAATCAAATGTTCTTATACTGCGGTTCTAGAAATTTGGGCCACTGAATTTAATGGATCTTTCTCCCAGGTAAGTAGGTACAGGATTGCACCCTCAGCATAGCTTTTAACAATTAAGTCTAGTATTGTTTTCAGGTTATAGTTTGGTTAGTTGTTCTTAACAGTTTGCAATTCATTCTGTACGAAGCTGAATAGAAAGTGTTTATGAGAGTCTAATCAACATTCCTTCACCTTGGTTGTGCACCTTGTGTTTAAAGAGGCAATGTTCAAGGTATTCGTATTTATTCAACGTGGCATGTAAAAGACAGAAAAGGCATGAATGGTGAGAGAGCAAAATGGAAGAAAGGCAGGTTGCTTACCTGTTGAGTGGTCATCTGTGCACTCACACATATGGGCTTTGCCGCGGAGTGCAAGGCCAGATCGGAGGAAACTTCCAGAGCTCAGCATCATGGAGTAGGTGGGAGCCCCGGCCTGCTCCGTCCAGGGGTCCGGATAAAGGGAGGGGCTCCCACCCATTCCCTTAGTTGCCTTGAAAACTGCATTGTCCTGTGCATGAGTGGGAGTCACAGAATGTAAGAGAAAGGCATAGAGGCTGCACCCTGTGCCAAGCAAGTGGTGCGGGTCACGTGAGGCTGATGACAGCCAAGGGGGCAGAGGGCAGGCTGTGTGAACGCACAGATGGCCACGCGAAGAACGACAATTACAGGTAAGCAACCTGCCTTTCTTCTACGTGGTCCCGGTGCATCACATATATGGACAACTAGCAAGCTTACCGTTCATGGTGGAGGGGCTAGCGTCACCGGAGGATTGCAGAGAGGACTGCCCCGCCGGATGTGCAGTCTTGCCTGGCACGGACATCTAGCCAGTAGTGCTGAATGAAGGTTGATGGTGCGAGCCAGGTAGAGGCTCTGCAGATGTCCTGTAATGGGATGCCAGCCAGGAGGGCAGCTGACATGGCCCTTGTGCGAGTGGAGTGCATGTGGAGGCATGCAAGGAGGTTGATCTCATAGCCAGGGAAATGGTGCTGCAGAGCCACTTCGAGAGTCTTTAGGCTGAGACAGGTTCTCCTCTGTGCTGTCCTTCATAGCATACAAATGGGCAGGTAGAACACCAGAATGGCTCAGTCCTGGCCTTGCGGAAAGCAAGGGCCCTGTGGACGTTGAGGAGGTGCAATGTGGCCTCTATCGGGGTGGCAGGGTTGGGAAAGAAGGCCAGGAGGACAATGTCCCAGTTGATGTGGGAGGAGGAGGTGACTTTAGGAGGTGGTGGTGCTATCCCTCTCGATACACCAGTCCCAGACAGTGGGCATGAGGGTTGACAGGTGGGTGGATTGAGTCCCGCCCTCTCTGTCCAGGTAGTACATGACGTTGGTGTTGTCTGTGTCTATCTGAACGTGGCGCCCCTGAGGGAGGTTTGGAAGGAGGCGAAGGCCTTGCATACTGCCAGCATCTCAGGGAGGTCAATGTGGAGATGCGACTCGTGTGATTCTCAGAGGCCCTGTGCACAAATGTCACGACAGTGGGCGCCCCAGCCTGTATTTGAGGCATCTGTTGTGACCATGATGGAGGGTTCTGGAGGGCTCTGCTGATGGCACCCCACTAATGGAGGGACTGCCTGGCCACAGGGGGCAGGGACAGAGTGGTGATGGGGAGGTCTCATCCAGAGGCATGCGTGTTGCAGCACTGACACCATGGCAACCATGAGGCCTAGCAGCCTCTGGATGGGGTTGGCAGCGGAGTATGCCAAAGTCCTGATGGACGTGGCCAGTGAGGTGAGAGCCTCTGCCTGTGGCTGTGGAGGAAATGGCCCTGGTGAAACTGGAGTCCAGGCGGGCCCCTATGAAGAGGGTGGACTGTGTAGGGGAGAGGACAGATTTGTCGCTATGGATGAGGCGCCCTGCAGGAGAGAGCATGTAGCATGCAGCTCTCATGGGAGGTCCTCCCTTGGAGGGGCTGCCAGGAGCCCAAATAAGAGAAGACCTGGACGCCCTGGCGGCTGAGGTGGACATGGACCACCACCATGAGTTTGCCCAGGGGGTGGTGACCAAGCTGAAAGTGAGGGCGGAGAATTGCAATGCCTACTGGCCAATTGGAAAACAGAGGAAATACCTATGGGCCTGGTGTATCGTTAAATGAAAACAGGCATGCTTAAGGTTGATGGTGGTGAACCAGTCCCCCTGCCTAAGCAGAGGGAGGATGCCTTGCAAGGTGACCATTCTGAGCCTCTTGGTTGTGATAAACTTGCTGACACCTCTGAGGGCCAATATTGGCATAAGCCTCCTGTTGCATTTGGATACTGTGAAGTACTGGGAATAGAACCCCCTGGGCAGGTCCGAGGAGACCTGTTGTATCACTCCCTTGGACAAGGCCTCAACCTCCGCCATCAGGGTCGGGTGAAGACGGCATGACCTTGATGCAGCCTAGTGGAGGCAGGGTATCAAATTCTATCTTATACCCCTGGGGAATTATGGAAAGGACCTGGGAGTCAGAGGTGATACTCTCCCATGCTGGGAGGAGCTGTGCTAGGTGGTGTGTGAAGCTGTGGAGGGGTGGGGGGGCAGTAGGATGGGGCTGTCTAGGCCTGGATCTCATTGCCTGCGCCTGTTGTCCTGGCACCTGGGCAGGAGTCTATGGCGTTGCTGGGCACCGTGCCTCTTGGCAGGAGCCGTCTGCTTAGGGTAGAGTGAGCAGTCCGAGAAGGGGCGGCAGCTAGAGGTGGAAGGGGTCCCTTGCCACCTACGCTGCGGCGTGGGAGGCGGAAACCCCATGCACTTGGGAGTGGTGCGTGCCTTATGAAGAGAGTCCACACACTCATTGGTATGCGCACTAAACAGCCACTCCCCATCGAAGGGCAGGTCCTCGATCTGGGACCGTGTCTCCTGGGGGAGGTTCGCAGATCGCATCCAGGCGTGGCGGCGGATCACCACGGCCGACAGCATTGCCTTGCCATCGCAATCCACGTGGTGCCTGGCTGCCTCAATCTGATACCTGGACAACTTCTCCGCCTCGGAATGGACTAGGCGAGCGGCATGGCGCAGGTCATCAGGCAGGTGTGCTGCCATGCATGCCATCTCTTTCCAGAGCAGAAGTTGGTACCTGGCCATGGAGGCCTCGTAGTTGGAGACACATATGCCCAGGGAGGAGGCGGCATAGCCCTTCTTGGCCAGACTGTCCAGGCGGCGTCTTTCCTTGTCCACAGGCATGGACTGGTCACTCTGGGAGGTCCCTCGCATGGACTCCACCGTAACAGAATTAGGCCTGGGGTGTTGGTGGAGGAAGGACAGGGTCTTGTCAGCCACCTTGTAAGTGGACTCGATCCTGCGTGAGGTGGAGAGTGCCACAGCGGGGGCCTTCCAGGATTGTCGCACTGTGCGCAGGAGGGTTGGTAGCAGGGGGATGGATACCGGTGTTGAGCGCTGTGGAGACAGGGCATCAAAGACAGGGTCCACCTCGGGCACCTCTGATGTCTGGAGGCCCAGGTGGCCTGCCATGCGGAGGACCAGGTCAGCGAAGTGCCCCCTCCCTGCGGGTGACATGGTCGGGTCCTGATCCAGTGGCTCAGCATCAGGGGAGCAGTGGGGGGAGGCTGGGGAGAGCAACTGGGCTGAGCAGGGGGAGCGACTCTGATCTGACTCCCTTGAGGCCGATCTGCGCCGGTCGCGTACAGAGGGCCCTCCTGGGGAAGGCGGTGAGTGGCTCTGTCGCAGCTGGAAGGGGCTGCGTGAGGGGCATCGAGGGCCACCCTGGTGGTGGGCTCCTCTGGCCAGGCAGGCCAGGTCAGGCTCCATAGTGCGCTGCTGGTGGGCGTCAGGGCTGGAGCTGTGGCTGAGGCCGTCCTCACGGGGATGAGTGCGGGATCGGTGGGGGGAAATGGCCTCCCCGGCATGCTGTGCCCACGTGTGCCACGCCAAGGGACTGTGCTGGCGGCTTCCCTCGCTGGCCAGTGCGTTGGTGCACTCCCGACGTCGAGGGCGCACAGGTGCACGGCAGCGATTACCTGGGTCCGATGCGGAACGAGGGCAGCTGCAGTCGGCACGAGGCCAGGATCGAGGCAAGGCAGGTCTGGTGCGCTGGCGGTGGCACAGAGTGGGAGTTCTGGCGCGGCTGGAGGAGCCAGAGTGCCCCCGCTCTGGGTGGCGGTGGTGATGCCGATCTGGGGCCGGCGTGGGTGGGTCTGGGGACCTGGACCAGTCTGCCAAGCATGTGGATGCTGGCGACCATGGCGATGATCCATCCCAACTGGGGGAGGAGGAGCAGGGCGATCCCCAGAGTCCTCTGGTGTCCTGGCCATGAGCCATGGCTGGCAGCGGCGAGATGGAGAAGCAGGGGCCTGGCGAGGTGGTGGATGGAGGCAATGTGTCCCCTGCATCAGGTGCGCTGCGCTGTGGCGATGGCTCTCTGGGTCTGGGTGGTCTCACGTGGCTCGCAGGGGAGTCTGCTGCATGCGCCACCGGGGATCCGTCCAGGGGGAACCCGGGGTCTGGCGTGCAAGGGCGGCTGGTGAGCGGCGAAACGGCCAGTGGTGCAGCGGACGTGGTGGCACGGTGCCTGTTTCGCTTGGTGGCAGCTGAGGGTCCTGCAGACTCCTCTGGAGGTTCGGCAGCAGGGGTGGCGGCAGCGGCAACCCTCTTCTTGCGGGGCTTGGCTGCCCATGTGGTCTCCTTGGGAGATGGCAGTTTCTCGGTGTCCAATCCTGAGGAGTCCACAACGCTCAAGGCACGTTTCCAGAGAACAAACTTGAGATGATCTGCCCTTTGCTGGCGAGTCTGCTTTTTAAAAGCCTGGCAGTGCCGGCAGGTCTCCACAATGTGTCCCTCGCCGAGGCAGAGGAGGCAGCGGGAATGGCCGTCTGTGGCAGGAAGGCGAGCCGCGCACGAGGTGCAGGAGTGGAAAGCCGGGTCGGCCATGTGGAGCAAAGTGAGGAGGAGGAGGAGGCACGAGGAAGAAAGAGAGAGTAAATCTTTGTTTCCCTTCCTTGCAGATAGAGGACAGGCAGCGAGAGGTGCCTCGAAGGAGAGAGGCAGACTCAGGAAAAAAGGTAGGAAAAACAGAATGTTATTAGAAAGATTTTTAAAAAATGTTTTTGAAGAGGGAAAGAAGGAGAGGGATCAGCTGGAGCATGAGCTCAATCAGCAGAGGTTCCGATCACGGAGCCCCTGTGTGTGTGGTCGAAAATGAACTGAGGGAGTGGGCAAGAGCCCTCTCCCTTTATCTGGACCCCCGGAAGGGGTGGACCAGAGCGCCTGCCCACTCCGTGACAGTGAGCTCTAGAAGCTTCCCCGGGTCTGGCCTTGCACTCTGTGGCAAACCCCATGTGTGTGATGCAAAGAGTTCATGAAGAAGAAAAAATAATTTTCCATTTCATCTCAAGTGCGTGCATCAAAAAACAAAAATGGAAGCCAGAACCATTTCCTCTTCTTCAACAACTGCCCATATTTTGCCATGAATAGAAGCGCTGTCCTTTTTCTCCTATGCAATTCTTTTGTGAGTTTGGTTTGGAGGGCACCAAACATAGTTTCAAAAGGACAGCTTCACTGCCTCGAAAATGTGGCTCGATAAAACATGGTAGCTGGAAACAAGTAAATTTCAAGTGGGGAAAAATCTATTATCTAAACTCCTCTGGGCAAATTACAATACAGAATATCCTGGCCCATATGTATATTTGAAAATAATTGCATTTTACAAAGGAGTTCATTTCAAATAAATTACTTTTTGACCCAGATTCATGAGGAACCTGCCTTCTATATGATGAAGTTTGATGTTCATTGTTATCAACTGAAAAGGGAGAGGGACTCCTTGACCTAAAGGACCAAGATTGGAGATTTTGGTGGATCTTAAAAAATAATTAACATGCCTTAAGCAGGATTGAATGAGAATGGAAATTGCAATGATGATTCAATGTTCTTTTGCAAAGTTGTTCATCCAGCAACATGTACTGTCCTCATTCATACACAAGGAAGATGAGATTTCATAGTGAACTCTCAGGATACAAGCTCTTTCTCATTGCAGTTGTCTTTGCTGATGTCAACAAAACCATTCATGATTCTCCTAGAGAAGAACTTCTTCTTAACTAGAATGTCATATTGGAACTGTGACCTGGTTTAGAGATAACATCAGCATAGGGCCAGTCTGCATAACACGACACCCATCGTGCGCTATTTAAAGAATGCTGTGGCGCATGCCAGCCACCATTATGAATATGCAAGCCCTGGCTAGAAGTTGTCATAGAGTATTATTTGAACCCAGGTGGCAGCGCATATTTGAGTTACATACTGGGGCATCCAGACTTGCTCAACATCCAGTAAATATCAGGTGTTTGAGAGCTGCAAGAGGACACCCATGGGTAGTGAGTGGCAGGCCACAAAATACAGTCAAGCATCCACCCCATTATATACCACTCAGAAGCTGAAAATGACAAAGAACCGTCCAGTTCATATGCAGAAAAGAATCGGCCAGGACTCGGCCAGACATGCAGCAGTGGCTGGTGGTCTGAGGGCAGAGAAGCTGCTCTTGAGTTTCAGCCTGAATTTAAGGAGCTATTCTTGGTTCCACACCTATTTTTGGGCTTCAATTCAGCACCATGAACAGCTTCTAAAAGGTTCAGACTAAGCGAGTGGAATCACTGCCCTGCTGACATCAGATACATCAGTCTCTGCTGATATGCAAGGCTACATAGGCTTGTTCAGTTTCACCAAGCACATGCACCTCCTGAGTATTTGCATCATTTCTTTGCTGCTGCTGCTGCTCCACTGCCCTCAGCTGTCCCTTGGGGACCCCTTCCCTCTATGTGCTGAACCCCTCTGTAAAAACAACCACTGCTGAGAATATTTTGGCACAATCTCTTAGTTCCCATTTCTCTCTGTGACCAAGTCTAAGTACAACCGATGGCTGGTAGTTCTAATGTTTGCTCTAAGTTCTAGTCTGGAATGTAAAGGAGTTATCCATGGTGCTGAACCCTACTCCTAAGTGGGTTGGGCATCATGGATCCCCACTTTAATGTTCAGGCTGAAACCCAGAGAGGACATACCATTGACTGATCATGCGTTTGCTGCCACCAGGTTTCATCAGTCCAATACTGTATAGAAGAAATGAAGACATGGCAGGGCCTAGCAACCTCTGCTCATGTCCTCTCTCCACACTTTTTCTCCACCCCCAAGTAAGTGTCTGGGAGCCTTTTTAGGGCCTCTTGGCATTGTGGTGACAGCAATGAACCTTTGCCCAGTGATCAATAGCTATGCTGTAAGAAGATGGTAAAATGAAACCTCCTGCCCATTTCTTGTATAACCTCAGACACAGACATAACCCATGCTGTTAGCTCACGCATGCTAAATGGACCAATTTAAAATCGCCAATTAAGTTTTTCAAAATAGCTTATGCTACTAGACCCAGTTTGTCTGCCAGCTTTATTTTTGTGCCTTAAACTGCAATAGTGACGTTGAAGTTGTACATGTACAGCAGGAGAGGTGAAATGAAAAGCCCGTGTCTCATGTTTAATTACAGATGGAAGGCATCTGAGCCAAGAAATGAATTAATTCAGGCAGAAGGCTGAGGCACCGATTACCCTCCTGGCACTCAGCACAACTGAAAATTCCATTTTATCAGCAGGAACAGCTGTGGCGTTAGCATGTCTTCTACAAATAAAATAAAGCAACTTCAGAACAACAAACAGGTGTTTTTGGAAAACGTTGCAGTGCTCAAAACACTTCTGCCGAGGACATAAAGAGATTAGTCTAAAATATTTTGGATTATAATTTTACCCTGTGAAGCCCTTCTCCATTTTCAGGAGTCCTTACATAGCATTTCTGTACCATTCTGGAGTGTTCAGAGTGAGCTCACAAAAGAGACATGGTTTAGAAGAAAGGACTTCCTGCACTTGCAGCTTCTTTCAGTTTGACCTTGAAATAAAGTGGAAAGTTTTGCTTGAATAAAGGAAGACTATAGCACAACAAGGTAGCAAATTATGAGGAATGACGACAAGCAAACTCATTGATTGTGGTCCTTAGTATATCATGGCTGAACCTGTAGGGCAATTCATCATAGTCTGAAAGTAATACCAAACTGTGGTTCCACATTGCATGATGAGTCTTGCACGTGGGAACTCCCTACTCCCTTCTTTTCCTCCAGCACAGCTACAATGTGGTTGCAGATGCTTACTTCTGTTTAGTTATAAGCTACGTTGGGTTGAATTTAAGATATGGTCTTGTTTCCCTAATCCATAGTAAAGATTGACCATAGGTGTTTGGCTCAGATGTACTGAATGGGTTTGCACATCTTGCTAAGCTGGAATAGGCCAAGGTGGCTTGGTGGTTTGGCCAAAACAAGATCAGGTTTGCCATGAATTCTTCTCCCTTGCAGTCCTCCAGCCAGCTCCAACATAACACCCTAAGGAGTTGTGGCAGAACCCGTGTGTGTTCATGTCCTGGATTCCTCCTTGTTCCAATCACTACCCCCTTTCATTTCCCAGCTTTTAACTTGTTCTTTTTCAGTGCCTCAAAAACTGGCAATTGGACTTGTCCCTCTCCAGTTTTCTGCAGGTATGCACTTAATGTTTATCTAACATGTGTGGTCTTGCTTGGTCAATCTGGAGCTGTGAAGGGGAGTAGGTAGCATTATGCAGCAGCAACCACTCCGAAAGGACCTGCAAAAGGGCCAGAAGTTACTATCTCCCCTCTCTGGAGTAGCTGGAGAGCAGGGAAGTATTGAAAAGGTTCAGGATACTGAAAAGCGTCAGTTCAGCACTTAAAGGTGAGAAAATCGCATCTGTGTGGATTGGACCCAAGCCCCCAGTGGATGCCTGAAACTGCAGTTAATAGTGAACGCTATATGATATGTAGATTTCCTTTTTCACAATTTTATTCATTCTCAGAATACAATTTTCTATTTCCCCATTAAATCAAAAATTTTCATACAATCATAGAATACTACTCGTAGAGTTGGAAGGGGCCACAGATATTCATTCCCCAATGACGACTACATCATTCTTCTTGGAAATGATGGCAAGTTGCTTCTGGAAGGTTGCATCCTTGTCCTCTTTTTGACTGGGTGGTTGGTAAGAGATGCCAGTAACTATGCTTTTCCTATTTTTCGCCTCCTTTAAGCCAGATGCTTTCAACTGGGCTACTAAGTTCCTCTTCTTGTATTTCTGTGCAGGTGAGTGTGTCTCTTACGTACAGTGTGACTCCTTTCTGTCCTTGCTATTTTTCTTGAACAGGTTTTCACCATCAATTCTAGCGTGCCAGTCATGTGAGTCATCTCACCAAGTATCACTTCTTCCTCTAAGATTGCAATTGCTGTCATGCACTGTGAGCTCATGTCCACGTTGTTTGTTTCCCATACTCTGAGCACTGCTGCAGAGACACTGAAGTTCATTCTGATTGTGCCCTGGTTTTCTTCCCACGTGTTTTGGGAGACTGGTGTTGGGCCCTGCCTGGGTTTTTTTCACTTAACAGAAGGCACATTGTGACATTTCTTTTGGGCTGAGGACAACCACCATAACTGAGCCAGCAGATATGGGGGTCCTGCTGCATTATCCAATGGCCTAGATTACTGTTTTGTTGGAAAAGTGGGCTTTACGTGTTCTAACATAACTTATGTATTGAAAAAGTCATTGCGAGCCTCTTACACCACAGCTCTGTCACTTCCCTGTGTTTGACAGGGCTTGTTCTCAGGAAATTGAGCATGGGATTGAGGTCAGTGTGCAGCCAACAAAGGGGCACTTATGCCCATGTCGATTCTGTTGTGCAATTGGTAGGTCCCACCAATTCCACTGCACAACAAAGATTTAATGATCCTTAGAGAAGATCCCAAATGAGTGACAACTCTTATTTCTGGAGTGGGCCAAGTCAGCAGCGATCCTGTATGCAGTTGCTCCTGGAAGTGCTAAACCTCCACCCCACAAGTGGTGGGCTCTGCTTACCGAAAGGAATCAGCCTGGCACAACAGAACTGCAGGGGGCCTCATGGATACTGCCCACTGTCGTGCATGTGCATTCGCGTGAACTCCAGGGGCCCACACAGGAGGCTGACCATGTGGGCTGGACTGACAGCGCAAATTCTGAGAATCAGATGTGTGCCAGGACCTGGCCTTTCCCAGCAGGGCTGACGGCTCAGGCTCTGAAAATGAGATGATTGTTGAAATGGACCCAGTTCCAGCTGCAGTCCAAGGCCCTGTGCCAGCTATGGGGGAAATTAGCTCAAGGGCAGCCGAGAAGCCCAGTCAACCCGCTGGTGGGAACAAGAAAGAGCAACATCCTGAGGAGGAAGATTTAGAGATGGGGGGTCTATCGGATGGGGAATGACAGCCTCCTGAGGAGGTGACCCGATAGTCCATCGTCACACTCACAGGGTGGCCCAACTGGGGTCTCAGAGGGAGCAGTGAAGGCAGGGCCAGTTCCACGTCATTCTTCCCCGCAGGGACAGGCGCAGAAGGATTCATGAGCAAAGCTCTGGGTGAAGAAGGCCAGAGAGGGTTCAACATTCTGCTCTGCATATGCTCAGAGACTTACATGTAAAATTAAGACATTTGGCAAAGCACATTAGTGAGACTGTTACTGCTGGGAGGGAGCACTCAGCTCACAACACCCATGGTCACTATGCTACACTACTTATGTATATTGTTACAGCAGTGTTGGAATTCCCATACCTGATCTTGTTTCCTGAGTAGCTTATATAGGAGGCTGCAAGATAAGTTTCTTCATAAATCTCACAACTTCAAAAATTCTACTTTAGGCTGTAACACACCCTTTGATTAATTGGTCATAGAGATGTACATCTGGAAGTGACCTCAAAGATCATCTTGTGTCTTTCCCAACATGATACCTTCTGGATATTTTGGACTCCAGCTCCCATAATCCCTGACCACTGGCCAGGCTGGGAGTTGTAATTTGGAAGGCACAAGGTTGGGGAAAGCTTGTCTAGTCCTGCTGTTCCAGTACTACAGAAGATGATCACTCAGTCTCTGATTTAAAACCTTCACTGAAGGAAGTTTACCATCTTCAAAAGCAGATATCTGTTCCTTTTCTGAACAGCTTGTACCATCAGGACATTCTTCCTAGTAGTGTTGCTGAGTCTAAATTCTTTGTCTTGTCACTGATTGGTTCAGTGCAGGTCCTGCCCTCTGGTGCAACATAAAACTGGTTGCACCATCCTTCACTGACAGCTCTTTAAATATTGGAAGAATGCCATCCTATTGGCTCTCAAGAAATTCTTGTCTGGGCTAAGCATAACTAGCTCCTTCACATTGCTTATAGGACTTGGTCTTCAGACCTCATCAAAATTAACTTAAATGCTCTAGAATGGACAATACACACTAGCACCAAAGGGAGGAGGTAATTATCCTTTCAGCACTTTAATGCATACAGCAAATTTAGGTTAATTTTAATTAATTTTAAGTTAATTTTATTAGGTTATTTCTTAAATTTACATATAGTTAGGGTGCATTGACCTCACAAGGCAGCATACAAAATGAGAAAAACACAGAAATAACCTCTATAAACTGCAATTTTAAAGCACTAAATGCAGACCAGGATGAATGTGTCTTGTCTGTCTGTCTGTCTTTCTTAAAGCCAGCTGCGATGAGTCCACACATATAACTGTGGAAATGAAGTCCTAAAGATAAGGGGCCACCACTTGGAAGGTCCTATCTGCCAGATTAGACAATAGAGCAGGTATGCATACCAGAAGGTACATATTCCTTTCTTTAAAAAGCAGAGGGAGGAAGCACAGCTGTTTGACCATTTGGCCCTTGCTGATGATGATGCTACAATAGGGTGAAGCAGGGAAATCATCAGGCTAAATGCTTTTGAATCACAGTCCCTTTATGCTGTTCTAAAATGTGGAACTTAGTCACCGGTGATAAGAACTCTAAGCTGCTATATGCCGCTCTGCTGGCTCTACCCCTTCTGCTGTTGCTCTGCCAACACTGGAATGGGGCAAGAGCAACAGCAACAACAGTTTGGCCTTCAGACTAAAAGTATGCCTTGCCTCTTCCTGTCCTTGGCCCAACAAGCTTTGGTGAAGTTTCCAGTTCGGAGGAGGCTAAATGTGGACCAGATAGAAAACTATTAGGTGGATCCAAAATTGGCTCCTAGATTGGACACTAAGAGTGCTCATCAATGGCACCTTCTCAAACTGGGTGGAGGTAACTAGGTGGGGTGCTGCATGGTTCAGTCCTGGGCCCAGTGCTCTTCAACATCTTTATCAATGGTTTAGAGGAGGAAGTACAAGGAATGATAATCAGATCTGCAAACAGAGAGAATGAAGATCCAGGGCTTATATGCTGGGCTGAAAGCAACAGAATGAGATTCAGTAGAGACAACTGCCAAGTCCTCCACTTAGGAAAAAGAAACTAAACACAGCAATACAAGATGGGGACTAAGTAACTCAAAAGAAGCGTAAAGGAAAAGAACCTTGGAGTTATTGTAGACAGCAGGCTAAATATGAGCCAAGAATGTGATGCAGCCACAAAAAGGGCATGTGCTATTTTGGGATGCGTTAATAAGGTATCACCTCCAAATCATAACAAGTAATAGTTCTTCTATACTATTCATTAATCAGACCTCATCTAGAATACTGTGTCCAGTTCTGGGCACCAAGATTTAAGAAAGATGCAAGTAATTAGGCTTCAGAGGACGACAACAAAAATGATCCAGGATTTGGAAACATTGTGCTATGAGGAGAGACTGAGAGAACTGGGTATGTTCAGCCTTGAGAAGGGAAGTTTGAGAGGGACATGATATCACTTTATATGTACCTGAAAGCTTATTACAAAGAGGAATGTCAAGCTTACTTCTCACAAAAACCAGAATGTAGGACACGGAATAATCAGTGCGACAACTCGGATTCAGGCTAGATATAAAGAAAAGTTTCCTCACCGCCAGAGCAATACGACAGTGGAACCACTTGCCTAAAGAGGTCGTGGGCTGTCCAACACTAGAGACATTCAGGATGAATGAGACTGTCATGTGAGTGGGAGGGTATAAGTTGGTGTCTTGCAACAGTAGGGGGTTGGACCCAATGGCTTCTTGCCCTCTTCCAACTCTGTTATTCTATGATTAATCAAGCTTTGGAATATAATGAAGGTGAAACCTGAACACCATCTTCCCAGAGGAGTTGGATGCTTCCTGGGAGCTGTATGATTTGACCTTGGATAAAATGCATTTAGGTCAGAGATCTGGGAGACTCTGTGGGGAATAACCAAGTTGGAGTCTCGGCTGAAAAGGGAAGGTTTCACAGCTGTCCTCTTGAGAACAGAGGCCAGGCGGTCCACTGAAGTGTTGTTTGTCATTGCAGGTGTGATTTGCCTGCAGGTACAGGAGGCCTGAGCCACCTCTATTTAAAAACAGCTGCAGAGCACTGGGAGCTTTGTGGATACAGTGTCTTGAGTAGCAAAAAGTCCCCTCTCTTGCTCATTTCTTAACCTCTCCCTTGACCTTTTGGCTTTCCTTGACTCTCATGGCAGTAGGACCGTGTATTAGAAAGTATTCCTGTACTCTGAACTATTGTTAAGTCTAGAAAACTGTGCCTTCTTGCAAATAAACACCCCAGCCGGCTCTTTTTCAAGTAGCAAGCATGCAAGTGTGAAGTCCTTAATGAAATCTGCCCAGATATAATGAGAACATGGTAAGGAATGACCTTTAGAATGGCCTGCTTAAGCAGCTGAATCAACTGCAAAAGTTCTTTAATGGTGAGATAAGCCCACAGAATACTTAGCTAATTACCGGTCTCGGCTGGTCTTGCTGATTTAATTGGTGTACAGGAAGAGGTTTGTGTTTCTTAAACGAGACTTAGAAAACAAAACTTAAAACTAGAGTCTGAGGACCTTGCCTGATGATTTTTGGCAACTGCTATAAATGAAGAATCCTATGAAGAAACTTAAAAGTTAAAGTGTGATGGGTGCAAGCAACATGCACCCAAGTGAAACAAAGCTTTGCAATAAGCTGAGTTTTCATCCTGCTTTTCAACACTCCCTTTTACAAGACTACCTGGCAAATACCTTTCTAAAAAGAGTTATTCCAAGGGGTATTTACTAATTTTTAAAGTAGCAATAGTTTTCTTTTGAAAAAGTCTTGACAGATATTTCAAAATCAAACCATTTGACAACCACCTTCACTTCCTGTGTGGAAAACTAGCTTGTTATAGAATAACAGGACTGAATCGCAACAGAAGGCCATCGGGGTAGTCCACAAATAAAATGGCACTTTTTACATTCCCCTTATGCTTCTGGTTATTATTATTACTACGTTTATAACCTGCCTTTTTTCTCCTCTTTCAAGGAACCCCGGGTGGTTTACATGGTTGTCCTCTTCTTTGTTCTATCCTTTCAACAACACTGTGAGGTCGGTTAGGCTAAGTGTCAGTGACTGGCCCAAAGTCATCCAATGATCTTCATGGCCAAGTGGGGACTAGAATTCAGATCTCTCAAGTGCCAGGTCAACATTAACCGTTATGCCACACAACAAGTGTGGCTGGAAGGTTGTGTTGAATCCCCATAATGGCTTACAGCCATGTCCCATTGGCAGATACTTTCATCCTGAACCCTATTTTGCCTCTATTTTGGCAATGCATTGGTTCTGATTTTACCTAGGGGGCTACCAAATTAATAAATACTTCTGTACAACAGTACTATAGATAGTTAAAAGATATGGCTGGAAGAACACAAGTTCCTGCAGTTTGTAAACAATCAGGAACCTCTGTTCCTGATTGTTCACAAACTACAGCAAGGGATACTGAATACAGGTCTGAGATCAAATTCCATCTGTCCATGAAGCAGAACATGTTCCAACTTGCGAGTTGATGGGTGAGAACCTCTTTCAACATCAGAGCAGAATTTAGTTATGGATAAACTCTTGAAGGATACATTCCAGTGATAAGCAGAACTGAAGTTAAAAAGGTCGGGACTAAAACAGAAAAGAAATGACGCCCCAGGAGGGTCAGAATTTGCCCCTACCTTTGCTGTGGCCCAGTGTGGACATTCATAAGATGGGGATGTCTTCCTGGAAATTCCAGAACTCTCTGGGGAGTGTGTCCTTCTCCTACTACAACTAGAAGTGACCATGCAGCTGTATCTCCAACAGAAACAAGGTGTGTGTGAAGCCTAACACTCTGCTCCAGCCCACTAACCAGCTGTTCAGTGGTTTGGGAAACACTGTTCTGCAGAGAAATGGGATATTTACGAAGCCTTGTGCATCTAGTTTGCCTGCAGCTTCCCTGCTTCCTGCATGGGGGAGGGTACAAACTTTGGTTCCCAGCAAAATCACACGCCTCACAGCTGTTTGGCAGGCTGGGAAGTGAAGAGTGGATGCTGCTGGGAACCTGGCAGCGTGCGAGGGGCGCAGGCTGCACTACGGAGGCCGAGGACCCAAGGCGAGTCACGAAACTTCCCCTGGGCAGTCATGCGCATCCTGTGGCTTGCACGTAGCCCACCCCTGATTTTTAGAGGCATATTGCCATCAACTAAGGAAGTTTCATGCAAGTATCATGACTCAGCTGTTGTCAGATTTCTCCTCCATGCACTTGCCAGTTCGCCCTTGGCAAGTGGCCACTACCCCCACCAAATCATGCAGCAGCAAATTCTAGGCAGTATTTTTTCTCCCTTAGGTCATTTTAATTTTGACATTCTTTTAAAAAACAAGTGCAGTCTTTGCTTTAAGTATTGATTGCTAAATTGTTTTAGAACAGCCATCAAATATTTAAGCTGTCACCGTAGCAAAGAACTTCCAAGAGTCTGTTTTTCATATTCAATAAATAAAACTCAACCTCCGCGGAGGCTGCACTGCTCAGTGTTTCACGGGGCTTCACTATGTTACCCAAGTTTAAAACATAGCAGGGCTCAAGTGAAATGCAGAAAGAGCTGCTATGCAATATTCTTCAGCAGCTTTATCCTGCATCACCATAACCTAATTTGATATCCACTATTAATCTGCAGGGGGGAAGAGAACACTCACATGTGGGGGAAATACGAACTCTCCATTAAGCTTGGGAGAAAGAGCTAGGTAAGGGGAACATGGTTCAGACAAGTAATGGCTTTGTTGTGTTCCTGGCTTCCTTGCATTTGCCTGTCTGGTAGGTGCCCTTATCAGCCTGCCCTCAGGTCCCTTTTTAAATGTCAGACAGGCCCAAAACTTCATAACTTTAGGAGGCCAACAGGGCATATATTCCCAAGACCTGGGTGGGCAGACAGGATGGGGCTAGTTTTTCTCAGTCACGGCACAGGGGTTCTTGGTACAGTGTCAGGGCAGATGCGACAGCCAGAGAGGAGGGGCTGCTGCCTCTATCAGAATTCTCTCCCTCTCGGGCCCATCTGACTCCCATTCCGAAGCGTTGCATCTGGTCCAGCGCCAGTGGGACAGAGGAGGGATTCCACTGGAGTACTGCCCATGCTGCTGCCCAGTAGACTCCCAGTCTGAGCTGCCAGCGGTGGTCCCCGTGGCAATGCTGAGGTCCCCCTGGCTATTAGTTCCATGGGATGTAAACTTCCATGCTGAGGACACCCTTTCTGGCACAGCTCAATTGCACATGGACTCCACGAGAACCATGATACGGTCTCAATATGTCATCAGCCCAACTCACATAACAGGGCACACTCGAGTGAGTGAGTGAGTTAGTAAGTTAGTTAGTTTGTTTTTGGCCGGGCACAGGGATAATTACCTGAAGGAGAAGGACTTTGAGCTGATCCCTTTGCCATGGTCAGATCACTGCCTAGGGAGCTTTAGACAAATGGCTACTTTCTCCCTCTGCAAGGATGACGGTCATTTAGGATCATCTTTCCTGGAGGCTAATGGATCCAGGTGGTTTCCAGAGGGCCCTTGGAGCTTATCCAGCCGCTAGGGCTGGCTAGTCGGCTCAACTCCTGCTCAACTCCTATCTACATACAGAGATAATGTAGATAGCGGATACAATCACTCCTGAGCAGCCTTCCCATAGCAGAGCTTCATGGAGCAGAGAGAAAACAGCTTGACTGCAGACGAAGGAAACATCCCAGTGTTTTCAGGCTATTTAGAGGCAGTGAGGGAGGCAAAGAAACATCTCACTGCCTTTCTTGAGTCTTCTCTGTCCTGCCCAGCAGAGCTTTCAGGATTGTCCAGGGCTTATTAGATGCTGGTCCCAGGAAAATTCTAGACCCATCTGAGCCCTGCTTTAATATGTTTGCTAGCCATTTCCAGGAATAACTCTCTTGTATCCTCTGGGACTTAAATTCTAATTTTATAGGAGCTGCATCAGGTGAGGTACCCACAGTAACTGGGGTCAAGTTTTATGGGATGAGTTTCAGTTGGTTCAGCCTGAGGATGTTAACATGGTACTTGGACAGGTTCATGCAACCACACCCATTCTGGATCCTTTCCCCTCTTGGCTGATAAAAGCTAGCAGGCAAGCAGCAGCAGGCCGGGCCAGGGAGGTGAAGATCAATGCCTCCTTGTGAGAGAGAGCAGTGCTGTGCTGCATTAAAGAGGCAGCGGCAATGCAACTCCTCAAGAAACCCTCTCTGGATGCAGAAGACCTTTATACACTTAGGCCAGTGGTTAACATCCCCTTAACATTAACATTAATGTAAAGCCCTTGAGCAGCTGGTAGCCAACTAGCTCCCAGCAATCTGGGAAGATACTGATCATCTGGATCCATTTCAGTCGGGTTCAGGCTGGGTTTTGGAGCAGAAACAGCTTGGGTTGCACTGTGCGATGAACTATATTGTGAAGGAGACAGGGCAGTGTGACCATGTTTATGTGTCTGGATTTCTCGTGGCTTTTTTTTTTTTTTAAACATTTTTATGCCGCCCCATTCGCCGAAGCCTCGGGGCGGCTTTTGATGCCACTGGCCTTCTGGGTGATTTCTGCAGTGCAGCTAGCGGGTTTTGTGGTGGATGACTGGCTGCAGAAGGAAATTCTTGGGAGAAACTGCTCAGCTCTCCAGTGGAGTGTCCAGCATGGGGCTCCTCAGGAGTCGGTCTTATACCTCATGAATCTACATGAAAACGCTGAGTGGGGTCACCCAGAGTTTTGGAACGTGTTGCCATCAGTAAGCTGATGGCAGGCTGCTCTATTCTCCTTTTCATCTCCTGCATGTGAGGCAGTGGATGTGCCAAATCAGGGCCCGACTGAGATGATGGCCTGGCTGAGGGCTAGCAAACTGAAGCTCAACCCAGACAAGACTGAGGCACTGTAGATAAGCGGTTCCTCTGACCAGATGGAAAATGGTCAACCAGTTCTGCATGGGATGACACTCCCACTGAAGAAGCAGTTTCACTTGAGGAACGGGTGACCTCCTTGGCAGGGAGAACCTTCTACCAACTTTGGCTGGTGGCACAATTATGCCCCTGTGACAGGGACATGGACATAATCTACACTCTAGTAATCACCAAGCTTTTGACTACTGCAATGCAAGTCAGTGTGAGGCTGCTCCTGCAGACTGTTCATAAACTGCAGCTTGTGCAAAATGTGGCAGCCAGACTGATAACTGGAATCAGAAAATCCTTCACATAATCCCAATTCCAGTCCCCTTGCACTGGCAGCCTTTACAATTCTGAGCATGATTCAAGGAACTAGTTTTAACTTACAAAGCTCTTTATAGTTGGGACTGCAATACTTGATGGATCACTTCTCCTAGACACTGACCAATATCTGGGGCCTTCCTCTGATTGCCACCCCTGAGAGAGGCTTGGTTGGGGCACCAAAGAGGAGGGTCTTGTCTGTGGTTGTACCCAAATGCTAGAATGATTTTCCCACTGAGACTCACCTGGTCCCATATTTACTATTCGATGGTGCCAGGTTAGAACAGCATCATACAGTTAGAAAGAATCTATAAGGACAGAGGGTCCGACCCCACTGCTCAATGCAGGACTCAGGTCCCCCATCCCAACAGTAACCATGCCTGACACCACTTTGCTCCTGAGATTAGGCAGAATCAGGCATGACAGCCCTCTATGTCAAGCATGAGAGCAGGGTATTGTAAGCTCTTTTAGGTACCCAAACTGTACGAGGCTGTCTTAACTGTTTGAGTTGTTAACATTTGGTTTTAAATTTTTAATGTAACGTTATGCTTTTATTGTGATTTATATTTTATTTTATTAATAGCTTTATACTGCCCAGGGAGCTTTAGCTATTGGGAAATACAGAAATAGAATTAATAATAGTAATAATAAAACTGGCACTTCAGCAGCCAGCTCGCAATTTGCTTTTCTGCGGCACATCCGTTCCACGATCTGCTCTGAATGAGCACTGGCAGCACACACCTTCATGCTCCCTGTCGCAGATTTGTGTAGGAGTTGCCATGGGTGCCAAGGTACTTGGCTCTAAGCAGGCTCTGCATTTCACAGAGCAGCTGTGCTGATCACAGTGCAGGTGCATTAACAGAGTGCATTTGCATATAATAGCTCCATCTCTGCAAAGTACATTAGATGCTTGCATAAGCGTGTGTTGGCTTCCTTTTATGTTTATTGCGCCATCCATTTTATTCCATACTGGGCAATCTGACAGTACAATTTCTAGGAAAAGGCCATCAAAAATATTTGAACCTGTCAAAAATGAGCCACGAAAAAAAGGATAACAACATATTTAACTGAAAAACACCCTTAGAAAGAAACAATTAAACTTTACAGAAGCACATAGGGGTGCAATCCCTAGGCATGACTAGACAGGAAAAAAGTCCCACAGTCTGCAGACACGTCTCAACTGAACATGTTAGGAGTTGTAGGACTGTTCTCTGTCTAAATACATATAGGGTTGTATCCTAAATACAAATAATTAAATGTTTATTTTTAAATCATTTACTTTTCCTTTTGGGGAGGGACATATTCCACATATTTAGGGATGGGGCTCTAGCGTAAAGGGAGGGCACCTGATGTGGGTAGAAGGGCAGACTGGGGGTGCAGTCTGTTGCATCTACAGTTAAAATGGCTGAGAATTAACCTCCATTCATTCATTCATTCATTCATTCTATTTCTATTTTGCCTTTTATTCTGCAAAAACCCAAGGTGGCTTACACAGTGCTCCTCCTCTCCACTTTGTCCTTGCAACAGTTCTGGCAGGTAGGTTAGGCTGAGAGTGAGTGACTGGCCCAAACTCTCCTAGTGAGCTCCACTGACATGGAGGGACTGGATCTTGGATCTCTCAGCTACTCTACACTGGCACTGTTGTTTGAAGAGCTGCTCCCAGTCTGGGTGGACGGAACTGGGGAAGGGGTACCTGGGCAATTGTCAAGCTCTTGCTGGTGCCTCGCAGTTGCGGAAGCAACATCTTATCACACAGAGCTCTCCAGGATGCTGTGATTAGACAGCACCTCTGCTGTCAAGAAAACCTGAGTTCTTGACCTGGTAGACAGTGCACTGGTCAGATGGGGATTTGAGGCTCACAGCACCAGTGGCTAGAACAGGATATTTATACACTGGAAGCAAAAAATATGCTGAACTAAACTGCTGAAAAAAGGGTAGAATAACTTCTTAATTACCAAACAAAAGATATCACTTCTTTTTAGAAGGGAATGCTGCATTTAATATTTCTTTCCTTTATTCTATTATAGTATCATACCACAAACAAACCAGTCTAACTATAAATATGTGTGAACCATTAATTAGCAGATGGGTTTGGGGATTACAACTGGACCTTATCAATTAAAGCTGGCCATCACTAGTTATTATTATCACATTACTTAATTTAATCATGATTTCACATACAACCTCAGATATGCAGATGATACCACTGTAATGGCAGAAAGGGAAGAGGAACTAAAGAGCCTCTTGATGTGGGTGAAGGAGGAGAACGCAAAAGTTGGCTTGAAACTCAACATTAAGAAAACTAAGATCATGGCATCTGGTCCTATCACTTCCTGGCAAATAAATGGGGAAGAAATGGAGGTAGTGGCAGATTTTATTTTCCTGAGCTCCAAGATCACCACAGACGGGGACTGCGGCCAAGAAATTAAAAGACGCTTGCTCCTGGGGAGGAAAGCTATGGCAAATCTATACGTTGCCCCCTCTTAGCCTAAGAGACACAGCAAATATCCTAAGGATTGAATTGAAAAGTAAATGAAACGGGCACAGAAAATGACCTGAGGGTATCTCAGATTCCATCTACAAGGGTGCTTTTGACCAACTGAACCCCAGAGTCTGCCACCCTTCCTCCCCCATGCCCCTTCAGAAAAGAGCAAGAGGGGTTCCTTGTTGCAGCATGATCTGTAGTCCACACTCAGACACAAAAATATGCAGCTGACATAGCCAAGAAGCTGTGTTTATACCCAAGCAACTGCTTGGCAGTGAAATTACATTTGCTCCAATCAGTTCAGGTTTTATGCATACAATGCTTTACAAACAAACCGTGTAGCTAAGTGTTAGTTTATTCAACACACGAAGAACTTCGATTTAAAACATGCCGTCCGTAAAGCTCCTACCAGCTCTCTTGAAGCCATGCTTAGGTGTTAAAGGCCATGCACTTACGTTAATGGCCCTGCTTCTTTTGTGCATTCATATTTCTAATTTGTTCCATCACCAGCAGAAAGGTCTGCTGGCCTCAGAGCCCCATTCACATGCCCAGCACACCCACACCAACTAAAGCCTTCCAGGCTTGCTGCTCCTCCTTATAATTGCAGCCTCTTTGTTGAGCTGCTTTGCTTTGGCCCAGAGATGATGGCAGTGGTGGTGGTGAAGAAGAGAAGGCACGGATGCCGCTTTCTGTTCACAAGCAAGGCAGTTGTAGTAGCCAAGGCAAGAGGGGGCAATAGGACTGAGGTGCCATGGGAGCGACAAGCAGATGGGCCATGGAAGGGGGGCCACTGAGGGCGTCTTGCCCAAGGACACTCTAAAGCCCACAGGGAACATTCCCTGTTCCCTTCCATCAGCCCTTTTAGTGCCAGGCAAGACTCATCAGGCCAGATAAAACAGCCCTTGCTTTCATTTGCCTGGCACCAACATTATATTCTTTTCAGCGCCAGGTAAAAACCTTTTTATTTGCCTGGCATTTTAATATTTAATTTTTTAAACTAGTTTTTAGTAACATGCTTAGTCACATTTTACTTCATTTTAATTTATTATGTTGGTTGTATTTCTTCTGTTGAATTATTATTTGTTTAATTATGTTGTAAGCCATCCTGAGACACTGTTAAGGAGAGGGTTAAAATACTGTAAATAAATAAATGCTGTACTGTAATACTTTTCAAGAGGGAAGTTACGTCTTTACGTCAGGAGTACGGTCCATTCCCTACTCCTGCTCTGAAATTAGGGAACATTCGTAAGGTTTTTCGAGTGTGGTGCACTCATGGTGTTTTTCTGGCTCTGACACCTCTTAAAACAGTACTGTCTGTCCAATTTGAGTTTCATGACTGTCAAATGTGAATCAGAAGCTGTTACTGCATAATTGAAAAGATATCTGTGATAAGATATGGAAAGCACTTAAGTTGTCTTGTAAATGTGTCATTAACAGGGACTAATAATGATCAGCTTCTTCTTGGATTGGACAAGCAGGCCAAAATTGGCTGAGATGCAATATTTTTTAATGAATCAAGGGGGAATATAAGTGTTTGCTGGAGAATCTGAGAGCAGCCTACAAAAATCATGTAGAACCATTATGAAGAAAAAATGTAAAAATGAGAAGAAACGATAAATTACTAATCTCTAATTTAAGACAGTGTTATTCTGCTAGAAATGGTGCCAGAAGGAAAGTGGAAAACTTGCTGTCTAAAGAGTTTGCTTTTTCCCTGGAGCACCTTTCCTTTCTCTGAAAAAGTACTGAATAAAGCATAATACACTCTATTCCATCTAAGATTCAAAATTGGCTCATAATTTGACAAAGAGCCCAATGAATCTCCCTGTAATACCTTTCTTAAGCTAACTAAAAGATCATAAATACTATGCAAGCCTTTGAGTTCCTTGAAAATTTTAAATCAGGCAAGATGGTAAAGAAAGCGAAAGGGGACAAGGAACAACTGATGTGAAGTCATGGGTGTTCAAGGCATCCAGGTCAGTGGGACTGATTCAGCAATCACAGAAATGTGAAGTTAGGACCATTACCACAAGATGAGTTTTAATAGTTTATGGTGGTCTGTTTCTGCTCACTTCTGTTTTTATTTTTGCTAATATTGTTCTAATCAGATTAAACTGCAGTTTTAAAGCCTGGCTTTTCTGATAAATTCTGAGTTAATCTCCTGACCAGATTTATCTCATTTATATTGTCTGTTGCATTTTTTAATGTTTCAGGAAGCCAATTTTGGAGGGCTCTATCCTAAAAGAACACCATAAAATGCTTGAAAAGACACTGAGACTACCACTGCATCAGGCATTTTCAGCAGAAGTTGTGATGGGCTACAGATGTGCCAAGCCTGGGAAATCTGGCTCATTTGAGCTCAAAGGATTTCCTGCCTCCTTCTGATCCGAAGATCTGAAGTGGGCTGAGGGGGAGGGGGAGAGGCACAGATTTCTGTCTCTAAAATACACTGCAATTTGTGCAGTTTTTGAAAAATGCTAAAGAAATTTGTGCAAATGTGTACAAACAATTTACACAAACTGGAAGCTGCAATGAGATGGTCTCTCTCCCACACCCTTTCCCTATTTTTTCCTTGCAGCAGATCAGGAAAAGTAGTACAGTATTTTATATGTTAAATGGCCTGCCGGGACCAGCTTTGTGATACAGAGCGAGTAATAAAAAGATCATTAACAAGAAGCAAGACGCAATCTAAATTATATAGTTTGTGCTGCTCATTCTAGATGGATGATTCTAAACTGAATTCTCCTCCTCCTTTTCCCACCAAATGGAGTTGGCTCCATCCTCAAGGAGGCTTGTACTGCTTGTGGTCCAGTCTATGTGGGAACACCATCGTCATCATCGTCATTGTCAACCATTCAGTTGTGTCCGGCCCTTGGCCACTCCATGGACCACTGCTGTCCATGCCTCTCTGCCTCGCACTGCTTCCTTCAAGACCACCATGTCCATCCCGGTGTCTTTCTTTATGGTGTCCACCCAGCGGGTGCTGGGACGGCCCCTTCTCCTTTTCCCACTGATCACTCCCAGCATGACTGACTTTTCGAGTGAGTCAGCTCTCAGGACATGACCAAGCATGGCAGTCTTTGCTTGGTGATCTTGGCTCCAAGTGATACTTTTGGTGAGGCTCGGTCTAGGATTTCTTTGTGATTTTTGCAGACTATCGGGTGCTCAACAGTTGTCTCCAGCACCACAGGCATTATTAAATTGACCTGTTTGCTTGATCTGGTATGGAACTACTGGGCTGACTAAGCGATACCTCCCCTTTGACTCCACCCCCGTTCCACAGTGTCTTCCCTGAACCAGCGGTAGTTTGGTTCTCACCAGCCACCAGCTTAACCTGCAGATCATTGGCCTTAGCAATTCATCCAAGCATCCCAACCTTGCTTGTTCTTCCGGTTTATATTGGTATGAAGCCAGTGTGGTGCAGTGGTTAACAGTGCAGGACTGGAATTCAGGTGATCTGAGTTCTCGTCCCCTTCTAGCCATGGGTACATTTGCACCAGCCACAGACTCTCAGCCCAGCTTATCACACAGGGTTATTGTTGTGACGAGGACACTGAGAGCATGAGGAGCAGAATTATGTAACCCACCTAGATTTCTTGAAAGGAAAAATGGTGGGATATAAACATAATCACAAACACAACAATTAATATTCAGAGTCTTAATGTGTCCACTTTGGAATGCTTTATTTTGGGAGAAGTGGGCCCAATCCCTACAAAAAGTACATAGCATGATTTGTGCAAATTGAAGTCAAAGATTACATAAAGTGATTTGTGCAAAACGCACTACGTAGTTTTTGACTTTCAATTTAATTGCATGATTTACACCAATTTCCTTAGCATTAAAAATGATTGAATTGTGGTCCACCTTGGAAACTGGCTTGACCTTCATGACAGCAAGCTGGTACCAGTTCAGGGCTGACAAACCAGAATTGGGGTGGGTGGGTAAGGGAGTTCCACCAATATACTTCCTCTAGCCTACTCCCTTTCCCCCAGCCATTCATCTTTTAGTAATTTCCTGGCTTTTGTGTACTTTCCCCTTTTGAAAAGTTTGAAATACCCTAGCTAGGTCTTAGCAGTAAGAGATTGAAACGAAGAAGTCCAGGTGTTTTGCCCCCACCCTGTTGCTCCTGGTTCCTCCCCTTTTGCCTCCACCTCTGCTGGAATGCAGTTCCTGAGAATTTCAACATGGGCTTTGGGCATCCAGTGAAAGAGTTTCAGTGCCTTCCTTCTGGAGAATCAGGGATCCTACAGGTTGACTCTTCCGCTGAGCCCCCAGCATGAACAGAGGCATTCTAAGCGAGCCCTCTCTATCAAGTCTAAAACAGACCCAGAATCAAGAACAGAAGAGGAGGAGGCAGGGAAAGAGAAGTACTGGCCTGTCTGCAGCCAGTCGGTGTTTTGAAACATGGGACCGTGGATGCATCAGTCAGACCGTGGGTGCACCTGTATTGGCATCATCTTCAAGCACGGCAGCAGCTCCCTGGGGTTCTGGGCAGGGCTTTCCTTGCCCTACCTACCTGGAGATGCCAGGTGGCCTGCCCTAGGGCATATTGTGCAGCTGTATGATGACTTCATCTAACAGTCCAGTTGCTACTGCAACAAACCTACACGTTCGCAGAATGGCGAGACATCTACCCTATACCGAAGGCAGTAGATCATGAAGGATTATAGCACTGGAATATTTTTTAAGGGTTTCTTCTCCGAAGGGTGCTTTTCTTTCCTCAGCTGTGTGCTCTTGAGAAACACAACATCTGTGTCCCTTCCTACATGAGTAATTCTTACTAACACAACAGCAGAACAGAGGTTTTGAGTGGATCAA